AGGGAGGCAGGGAGGCAGGGAGGCAGGGAGGCAGGGAGGGGGAGAGAGAGAAAGGAAAGGTAACTTGTTAAGTTGGATATTTGGTGAAGATGCTCTCTTTTTATAAAATCAAATGAAACAAAAGTTTACAAAAGGTAAGGAACTACATATTTTGGATTTTAAATGTGTCTCTTTCCAGCTCAATAAAAATGGAACTTCCTTTATTATATCCATGATTGGAAATTTAAATATATTTATTTACAAAAAGCAAGAATGTCTCAACAAGGAGAATTTTGGTCTAGTCCTGAACTTCACATCTATTCTGCTCACACGTCACAGAGCTGTTTATAAAGACTCAGCTTTCTGTTCTTGTTTGTTTGAAATAAGGTTCATGTAGACCAAGCTGTCCTTGAATGGCTAATCCTTTGTCCACCTCCCAAGTACTGGAACTACAAACCTGTCTAGTTTATGTGCTGCTAGAGATGAAACTCAAGGCTCTGTGTGCTAGGAAAGCACTCTATCTCTTGTGTTTTTAGGGACAGGAGCAATGAGATTCCATGTACAGAGAGTTGATGTCAGCTGTTGTGTCTCACATAAGTTATAGAGGAAGGTAACTGTGTTCTGTCATGGGACCAAACCTCCTAGGCAGTATCAGACCCCACCATCCAATCATAGTTCACTTTTCAAAGTTCCCCTATCTTAGCTACCAACATGGACCTGCCTCTTACAAGGAAACCAAGCAGTTCATAGTCATTTTCATTTGACTTGCTAAATATCTCCTCCTGTCACACTAAAATGCTATTGATTTTCTTCATTTAAAAGCACTTTCTTATTTTCAATTGTTCTCCAAGTCTCTGTTTTGTTCATATTAAATTAATTCAGTTAAGACTGTGAAGTCTTCCAGAGAGGTCTTTATTTGTCCTGGTTATTCAAAGGCAGTTTAACTATACTCCCAGGACTACTTTGTAAGGGAGAAACAAACACTAGTGTCACATTCTGCCTGTGAGATTCACAATGTTCTCCCACAATGTCCACAATGAAGTGTCCAATGCGCCTTTGTTATTGACACAGGAGCACAATTGTTTACACAGAGTCCAGGCAGAAGTATAGCAAAAACTAACAATCTTATTCCTCCCTTAATAGTGGCACACCATTCATTATGTTAATCCAGTGCATGGTAGTAGAAAAACAAATATACTTCAGTTGAAAATCTCATGTTTCTCTCTGCTAGATTGTAGAACAGCTTCAGATATGTCAGGATTATGAAAGAATCATGAGTGGAATTTCAGCCTCTATCTATGTGGAGAGAACTAAGCACCTGCACCAAGCAGAAGTTCTTATCCAGAAATGGAGTAACTTTCTTTAGGCCAAAATTCTACCCAACTATCTATAGAGTCATGCGAATTTTTATCAGTTATGATAGGCATCAGTTGCTTCAGGAGCTGTGAAGACCTGCAGGGCTTCAGTCTATACTCCTCTCATAAACTGTGAGGGTCAGCCATGTGTGCTGTTCCGCAAGGAGTCTTTTAGGCTTGAGCAACAGTGTGCTCTGCTGCATCTGTTTATCCGTCCTCTCACAGCCTCAGCTGGTAATCTTCACTTACCAGTGTCTGGTCATCAGGTCCTTTCTACCTTCATATATGTGCATGGTAGGACCTGATATGTCTAGGTATCTGTCACTAAAGGGACATGAGTACAAAGTTGTGTTACAAGAAGGACTGTCACAAGCTGGTAAGAAATCACAAGACAGGATCTAGCATTTTTGTTAATACAGAAATAGTCAGTGGCAGGTGATTTAACTTGCCAAACCCCTCCAGTCTTGTCAAATGCTGGGGTGGTGAAGCTGTCGTCTAGGCAAGGGGCTGATGCACAGAATAGGTCTGAGTAATACCGCACTACAGGAAGGGCTTTTGTGGCCTCTGCAAGTCTTCTTACAATCCGCACTGACAGCCACCCATGTAGTTCTTCAGCTATTCAGAGAAAAGAAAACCTCCCAAGTTATTTCCAGGCACACAGGTCCTTTTCTTTCAGATTACTCAGAGATCACAAAGAGCCTTGACAATGAAAACTGAGTTGGGATGACTCAGTGCCCCCACCACTGTGAATGCTGAAGGAAATGATGCACATTATTAGGCAGTCCGCCGCACAATACGTCTATAATTAATGTTTGTGTTTTTAAATGCTGCTGAGCAATAACCTGACATTGGTGGTTAGTTCCTTCAGCTTAAAGAGAAGAAGACCTGCAGTTAGATGTGAGGTGATGGATAACTTGATCCCCTTCCCTCCAAAGGTCTTGCTGTAGTTTGAAATCCTGTTGGCTCTCTGAAGGCAAGATAAGGTTAGAGTGTAAAGTAACTAAAGTAGGTCGGAAAGTGTTTGGAGGCTGTGGACATTATTGCTCAGATGCACTCTTATCCATAGAAGCACATTCATATTTTAACTCATAGTATGCTGGAAAGATGGGGAGGTATTTGGGTGGGGCAAATGTGAGCTATGGGCTCAAATATGAACAAAGAGCAGAATAATGTAAGGCAATTGCTGAATTTAAAATGCAAGGCATCACTTAGGTAGAAGTAGAGGAGGTCAATTATGTTTAGAGAGCAGAGCATATGCCAATAAAAGAAAAAATAGAAAAAAACAATAAAGAAAAATCAATGAGACCAAAAGATGGCTCTTTGAGACATCAATAACATTGGCCAAGTGATGCAATAGATGTATGTGAGTCTTTAAAAATGAATTGAAGGTCCTTGTGTCAATTTATCTTTTCCAATTACCCAAGCAACTCTATTACTCATCTCATTAATTAACTTTTATTAGAAATAAAAAAAACCAAAGTCAAGCACAGTGCACATGCCTCTAATCTCAGTCTTGAGGAGGCTGAGGGAGAAGGAATATAAGCTGGAGGTCAGCCTGTACTCTATATGGAGTTCTGGACCAGCCTGGATTATTTAGTGAGATCCTATTTCGCAGCCCCCCTCCTCTGAAACTAGAGAAGAAAAGAAATTTTGAAACATAAAATAACAGCTATCAATATCATATGACTGAACTATTAGGTTAGTTGGAATGTGAGAAGTGGGACAAAGAACAGGTAAGCTGGGGGCAAGGGAAGGTTTGGGAAGAGCTTCAGAGGATTCCTCACAGCAGTCTTGTTAAAGGAAGATCTGAAGCAATCGTGTCTTATTACTAGAAATTATTTTGGTTGCATTTACAGAATTTTATTCTTTTGAACATTTGTACAAATATGTGTAGATTTAAATGTGATGTTGGGGCCTAATATTTTTTTATCTTTATCCTTGATGCATGAAAAGACACAAAGAGAATTTACTTTCTATAGTTGTAAATAAGGGAGATGATAAATTGATGGAGAAATAAGGCTTCTACTTGAGACAGGCAAAAGATACTGCATGTGCATACAGTAATCACACACTCACCTACATAATATAATGGATGGCTGCTTTCATGTGTAAACCTGTCTGAGCTAAGGGATGCCTAGATAGATAGGCAATACCAAATATTTTAAGTTTTTTTTTTTTTTTTTTGGTCTGGAGACAATAAGCAATTAAGTATGGTGATATTTTATTTGTATTAAAATGTTATTTGTATGTTAGTAAATAAAGTTGCCCAGGGGTCAGAGCTATTAGCAAGCCATAGGAAAGCAGGGCAGTGGTGGCGTATGCTTGTAATCCCAGCACTTGGTAGGCAGAGCTAATCCCAGCACTTGGTAGGCAGAGCTAGGTAAGTCTCTGTATGTTCAGGGATACAGCCAGTATTGGATACACATGCCTTTAATCTCAATACCAACCATAGAAAACCTGGAGGTCTATACAGACAGGCCATGACGAGAGGTCATGTGGTTGGGTTTACAGCCAATGAGAAGGCAGAACAGAAACTCTATATAAAGACTTTAACACAGGAAGTAGCTCTGGTTTGGAGAGGTAGGACCACCACAGCAGGAAGGGTAAGGTTTTAGCTCTTAGCTCTGACCTCCTGGCTTTCTTCTTTGCATTGGTTCTGTGTTTCTTATTTAATAAGATGGTTAGTTACATCTACAATGAAGTCAGTCAATACAGTGAAGATCGTCTTCACAATGTATAGTGAATATATGGGAACCATTCTATCTATCCAGTGTCCACATAGAATGTCCACATTGCCCCACCTGGTAATTCCCTACTGCTTTCTAAAGTCCACACGTATTCCCACAGATAAGTATAGCTCACCTCATCAAAGAAGCTTCTCTTTATAGCACAGGGAGACCATTACAGAAGTCCATAACTGGTTACAGTGCAGAGCTCAAAGGACTGTGTGG